GTATATTCCAAGGTTCCACATTCCAAAGTATCAGATTCCAAAATATCACCTTCCAAAAGTATAACTTTCCAAAAATAGATTTTCAAGAACATACCACACCAAAAATATCTCCCAAAAGATACAACTTTCCGAGAATGTAAATCTCCAAAATATAACTATTTAAAATAGTCTTCCAAGAATATATAACCTTTCGAAATATAACTTTTCAAAATTTCAACTTCTCAAAATATATAAATAAACCTCAAAGATGTCGGGGTGATTACCGACCCACCATAAAATTGCTGGGGTGATTACCGATACGCCAAAAAATTATCGGGGTGATTACGGACCCACCATAGAATTGTTTCCAATAATAATCCACCAAAAAATCACTTTAACTAATCTTTCCTAGATTCTTCTAATAAAGGCTGGGGAGCTCTCAAGAAGAGAACCCGAACCAAGCGAATATGTGGTCACCAACTACCACGCATCACCCCAGGTGTCTCATATGGATTCACAAGCTACTGAGGTCACCTATGAGCCGCCCGATGAACCCGGACCCCACCCAAAACACCAATTGGAAACTGAACGTATACCTTAAGTGTGCACACCCTCTAAAAGGGATTTCAAGCCTCCGAGTAGTAAAAAGTCCAGACATCTGGGATAAGTTTCCACCGACTACCCAAGATAGGACGAATCCTATAAAACTGGAATAAGGGCTACTACTACCCACAAAAGCTGAAGCCACTAATAACAATGTTCAAATGTCCACAACCACCAAAGAAACAATCCACCAGATAATAGTAGCCCTACCCTAGACCATAGTTCTACATTTAACCGGATGTAGAGCCAAACACCACAGATTACTCCACGGTGCTCAAAGTATTAAGAAATCGTTGATTACAATTTGGCAACACTTTCCAAAAATAGCATTTATTCCCACCACCAATAATATAGTTCATAGATTACTCTACTTGTCATTGTGAACATGTAGTTAATAGATTACACAATTATCACTATGAACATTTAGTTCATAGGTTACTCACATATCACTTAAATTCAAAATACTTTCTCAAAACATCTATTTCAGATTCAGGTCTCAAAACCATATGCCAAACATCTCCAATTCAAATTAAAGTCAAAGTTCACAAATTAGAGTTTACTCAAAAATAGTTCCGAAATAGTATGTAATACCATATTCAAAATAATCCAATAAGGATATTTATAACTCCATAATATATAAGTAAATATTCATACCAAGTTATAGATTTAAAAATATATAACTTGTCCATAAAGAATTGATCTCACAACACTTTCCAAAAAAAGGGTTTAACTCAAACCACTACTTCCCAAAAGTAGCATTTACTACCACCGCCAAAATAATTCAATTGGGGTATTCTAAACCCAAAATATATTTCCAAAATAACCAATGATAATAATCTCAAGGCATACTTCAATTCACACCAAAACAATCACCACAATTTTGTAAGTCAAAATAACAATTTCTCAAAATTCACAATTTCGGCATAGAAAACTGTTTTGAAAAATTCACCATAAATCATTCGTTCAAAGATTTCCAGAAAATCATACATCATGCTACAATAGCCGAAATATCCATAAAATTTCATAAAGAAACTTAAATCATAGTACAAACCCAATTTATTACATAATAGGGGCAAAATAGAAATTTTGGTTGCAATAGTCCTTACCTCGAGGCTAGCAACGAATCCTAAACGTCAAACCTAGTTTGAGAGGTCACTCAAATGTCCCTAGGAAGTTATAGGGTCGACGGATTACAATTTAAAATAGTCCTTACCTCGAGGCTAGCAACGAATCCTAAACGTCAAACCTAGTTTGAGAGGTTACTCAAATGTCCCTAGGAAGTTATAGGGTCGACGGATTACAATTTAATAAAGAGAAATCAAGAAAACGGATGAACGATGTGAATTAGGCAACAAACGCACTTACCAGAAGAATTGATTGTTTGAACACGTTCTTGGCCTCAAAAGTCGTGTTGGATATGTTAGGATTGAAAAGATGAAAGATAGAGCTTGAAGAGACACCCTTAGGGTTTTTGGAATGATAAAAATCGGATAGGGATGTATGTAGAGTGAATTTCTGAAGTTTGGGTCGCATTAGGATAAAATAGGGTGCGCACGCCGAGCGGATGTTGCCCACACACCGAGTGGACCTGGAAGAACCTTGGTCGACAATTTTGAAAGTCCGCACGCCGAGCAGGTTTCACATGCGTCCCAAACCTTAGTTTTTGCTCCGTTTCCCCCCTTTTGGATCTCTCCTTGGCCCCAAACACTAAACCAACCATGGTTAACTATCTAAAGACCGACTAAACGATACAAAATACAATTTTAATATTTTCCAAATTCTCTCAAATTTTTGGGGTATTACACCAAAGTTACTAAAGTCGCATTTTTGTCCACTCCTTTTTTTGGTTATATATTTGGAATAAATTTGAAATTTAATGCTATATTTTGGTATTACCCGGAAATTTAAATAACACTATCGCCAAACATTATTGTATTTACTCAGGGGTTTACTGTGATGTATGATGTTTGCCGGTGATATTATATTGATTGATGAGATGCAATCGGGTGTTGAAGCAAAGTTGTAGTATGTCGACAAACATCGAAGATCAAGAGTTTCAGACTGGGTCAAAATAAGACCGAGTATATGGAGTAGTGGTAACAGTGGGATCATCCTTGGTGCAAAGGAGATATCAGTCTCTGATAGTCACGTCTCGGACCGCATTCGTGTCACGTAGACAACCGTCGTACAACCCAATAAGAACAACATTAGTTCATCCCTATTGAATTATACAGTAGAATGATAGATTCTATTGCCAAACTGATTAGTAAAGACATACAATCAACATCAATATCACAATCAAACAAAACGCGGAAATAATGATATGTTTGATATTGATGGTCCCAAGTGAGGTAAAAGTCTGGGGGTGAATAGACTTTTAAATCGTTTTCATTTTCAACCCTTCAATGGTTAAGATATAGCAAGGAACTATAATCCAACACATTGCTAGACTTTTAGAACAAGCTGAACACATAAGTAAGAAAGATTTAGACCTATTAAATATAGACCTCTTTGATGAACAAGGACTAAGGAACAAGGAGTTTGATTCACAGTAAACTGGACAGTTTACTGGGCAGTGTAATGAGCAAGTTGCTACTCTCCTCTCTCTCCCTTTTATTGTGTCTTTTCGGCCATGGACGGGGAAGAAGAGAAAGGGAAGGTTTAACTCTTGTTGCTATGCAACTTGCAGAAACCGTAGATAATATATGGAAGAGAGTGTATAATATTTCTGGCTAATTCTCCCTTTATTTTATTGCTTTTCTACTTTATGTTATGGGTCTTGATCTTAGTTCTCTTCCTTCTTTTGAGAGATGTGTGTACATGTATATATACTCACGTAAAATGTGTAATACTCCCGCATCCCTTCTGTCAAGAGTTGACCAATGCATGTATATGAATATTTTGCAGCTCATTATTTGGGTTCTTCTGCGACCATGTGGCATGGGAAAATAAGGCGTACTCACGGCCTCCTAGTGGGACTGTTTGGAGGATGGTACCGCACAACTGTTTTGATTCACTGGATTTATCAAGTAGCTTCTTATATTATCCCACCTTTTTGTAGGAAATAAATCGTAGCATTTGGTATACCTTTTTCTAGTGGATTCTCATTTCCTATATCAATGTATCAGGTTTAAAATGCAAGATCTTTTAAATTAATTAATTTTCCTTTTCTTTTATATATATTCTCAATATATTTAGGCGTTATGTTATACTTTATCATTTAATTAACCCAAGGTATATGCCTGCATTCTCTTATGAGTAAAAAATTAATTTCCTTATTTTATTAATTAAGATGGAAACTCTTTCTCATATATTATACTTCAATAAAAAAATATAATCATTTATGTGTTAATTAATGAATGTGTACTTTTGAGAACGGTTGTTACATATAGTTTTGTACTGCACACATATAGTGGGTCACTTACTAGATAGTTGATTTTGTTTATGTATAAACGCATATATATTTGATTATTCTTTGAATCAAAGACCTACATAATTATTTGTATTTGTTTTTGAAAGATGTTTGAACAAAAACTTGATTTGTATTCGTATTTATATTCTATGTGATGGACGGCGTACCCGGGGGGTGGCTTATCTGAGGGGTTATTCGAGGAATAACCTAGAGAGAAGTCAGAGCAATAAGGAAGAGAGAGAGAGAGAGAGAGTCAGATATATTAATGAGTTCTGATCTGGGATCCTTTACAAGAGGAATAAGGGCTGCTATTTATATCAGCCATAAGTGCGATGAGAGTACACGTGTCAACAATCTGATGGCCGAGGGGTCACCTCAATTGGGGTCACTACACAAAAAGTGGTTTGTAGAGGCAAGCCATAGTTGTCCCTATATATGAAGATATTGCCTCTAATTACTTTTTAAGGCAATTTATTGGGTGCCTCTAAGGTGTCCCTAATTAATCTGTCCCTAAATGATGGTTGCTTCTAAATCTAGCTTTAGAGGCAACAAAATATTTGACTCTAATGATATGCATTTAGATGCAACCATATGATCGTGTCCCAAAATATCATTTGAGGCAACCATGTCACCTTGTCTCTAAACACCATTTGAGGCAACCATGTCACCTTGTTCCAAAACATTATTTGAGGCAATCATAATATAGTCCCAAAACATTATTTGAAGCAAACCTATTATCCCGTCCTTAAACACCATTAGTGACAACCCAAAATATGATGTCTCAAAATATAATTAGAAATAATTATATTATGGTGACGCTAAATATCATTAGAGGCAACGTCATATAGCAATGCATATTCAAACACATTTTTTTATTATGTCGTTTTAGATGACTACAAAAGGATGCATTCAACAACAATCATATTATATTGTCTCAATTAATTTAAACATATTGTTACATGACTACTTAAATTAAGTTACACAAACTATAATAACAAAGCAAAAACTGCATTATTATGTAGCATAAATAAATACAAAGCAAAGTTTAGTCATCCAACTATTACAAATAAGTAAATAACTAACTTCAAAAATTTATAATAAGTCAATAATATTCAATTTATTAATACATAGCTAAAGAAATGTATTGCCTACTAATCAAAAGTGAAGTCAAATATAACTACAAGCTAAGGACAAAATCATTTCAAATAATTCACTGATCTTCTCCATCCGATGACACTTCGTCACTCTCCTCGTCAACCTGGCACATAAAAAATTGTAAATAAATACTCTGTATTTCATAATAATAAAAACTCGAAATACTTCTTAATAAAGATTAAAGAAATTAATATGATGACACACCTCATTCGTTATTAAATCTGAGATATCATAACCCATGATGTCCAACAATTTCTCCATACAACCTTTCATATTTTTCATTTTGCCTTTGAAACGCTTCACTTCTTTGGTGAGCACTTTGTTTTTCTCATTGGCCTCATATGCTTCTTTCTTAGCCTCATTAGCTTCTTTCTTGGCTTCTTCTGCTTCTTTACGCAATTGTTCTCCTTCACTGAATGACCCATACATTGATGTAATGGAAGGACTTACTCCCATTCGACGATCACGTTGGCATTTTCCTTTGGGTTTAACTTTTTCATAAATTTCTTCATCCGTCAAATTATTTTTCCCTGCTGCACGTTGCTCTAAAAGCTCCTTCATTTTTTACTATAAAAATTAAAGGTTCAAACATGAGTATTAACACAATTACTACACTACATAATAACAAACTGAAAGTAGTGACAAAGTTTGTAGCAGAGTGATATCAGTTTTAGAACACACTAATTAAGAAGCAAAAATAAAGCAATCAAGCTTGTGTGATTCGAATATCATATTTCAAAATACTCTGATTTTTACAAGTAACATATTTTAGTACATAAAACTAATATAAAAAATAAAAAGAGATTGTAAATCTATAATACATAAAACTAATATAAACTGGTTTTTTAAAACTAACATCTGAAATTATATGTCAGGCATATAAGAAGTATAAACAGTTTAATTGGAGTACAAAGCAATGAATTGTTTAGAATTTGACTACATACCAAAGTATAACAGACAGTCCACTCGTATACTATATATATATATATGTGATACTTTGGTATATGGTCAAATTTTGTATACTTTGGTATGTAGTCAAATTTTGTGATACATTAAGAGCTGACTATATGTGATACTTTGATATGTAGTGCTAATTACAATATACATCGGAAGGTACATACAGGAGCACAAAATAACAAACTCGAAGTACAAGGTCGTTAACGTTGTATAAGACTTCTCAATATCTTACACATATCATATACAAGAGCTGAAATTAAAAATCAACAACAAAAAAATTGCATATAGTTATACTACTTTACTTACAATATTTTGCTTCGCAACATCATTCACTGGCGTCTTATCAATTTAGGTATGGGTTATCTCGTATGCTTCCAATATGTTTGGCATGACTTGCTCTTTTTCACACTAGTATGCAAAAACTTTAATAATTAGCCGTTAAATAGTTCAAAATATAAATGGAATGACTCGTAGGACACAAACTAGTACCACTTCATGAATAACTTGAGCAAAACTCTTTGTGCCAGCGGTGTGTCCAGCAGTTTGGCATGAGCGGTTCTTACTATTTCGTTTACTCATCTCCTGTTATATGAAAGCAAACAATATGGAAGTAAAAAATTAAAAAAGAGGGCAGCTAAGGCAAAACTGAAAAAGTATGTGCAAAACTTGAAAAAGTATCAAGTATCTACTTCATACGACAACTTGGAATAACCAGTCCTGTAATATCAGATTTTAAAAAAATAAACACAATTCTATTAAGCCAACACAATTAAAATATCAGATTTTCTTAACGATTTGCTACAGATTTAACAAGGAATGCTACCAAGTCCTAATGTTCACGCAAAAGCCAACCATGTACATAAATGAATAAATAATTTTACCTGAAACTTTGGAGATCCAAAATACTCCACAAGCCACTTCCATTCTTTTTTGTTAACACACGGTGGTTTATTTTCATCCTTTAACCGTTCCACATATGTGTCTTCAGTATCGTAATAATTACTTTTTAGTCTTCCTCTATAACTTTTGTACTTCTTTTTCAAAGATTTCATCAAAGTCTTTTTTCTCTTTTCACTTAGCTTTTCATATTGCTCTTCATCTTCAACATCATCAAGCCCAATATCAAATTTTTCCTTGCAAAATTGAATAGCTCTTAGCAAAATTAAATAACTTAAATAAAACTAATGTACTATTTACATAGATTAAAATTATCAATACCAAAATAAGCCGCCACATCTTATCCTTTTTCTCATCGGGTATTTGTGAAAACTCTTCAATCTTATAAAGTGGTGCATTGAGAGTATCTCTAACAATGGCACCACAATAGTTCGCTAGACTAGCTCTATTAACACCAATGGGTTCTCCCTTTATGTTAAAGTCTACTTTCTTCCTCTCACCGGGTCTCAGTTTTGCCAATTGTAGATTTCTCGTGGGACCTCTAGGAGTATTTGACTTGTAAACTTTCTTCTTCTTGATATTCGCAGCTTCAAAAGAAAACAACAATATTATTTCAGCTTATAATAGTATATGATACATAAAGCTTAGCATAATAAATATTTAAATGGACACATAGATTGAAATTTTAGGTTCTTATCCATTCTGTGAACTTAAGTTATCTTTTTCTTTTTAAGCATAAAAATCGAAGGATATACCTAAGAGTAAAACTTTTATTATTGCATACAAGAAATATCATATTTTTATGGAATTCACAGAGAACTCCTTTGAGAGGCCAGATCTATTTCTCCCGGGGAAATGGATAGTCGAAACCGCCATGGCTGCAAGTCTGCAACAACCGGGTCCTTTTCCGGGTTGCCTCGCCAAGATACGGATCAGGTCCTCCAAATGCCTCAATATTAGTAGCCCAGAAAGGAAGAGAAAACATAAGTCGATATCATCACAGCCAGTTCACAGTTCTTAACAATAATAATATACTCTGTACTATGTACAAGCAACAGTTTCAGATGCAGACAGAAAGATCGAAAAAGCAGAGCGGGTTCATGATCTATGGAAGGTTGGTACTATTGTTGTTGTTTTTCATTTCTGCAGTTTCTTTCTTGCGAAGAAGAAAGAAGAAAGGGCGGTTAGAAGAGGGGCATGGCGGAATCATGCGCAGATGAGAGGGTGGCAACTGCCCTTTCAATAAACTCCCATTCCTCTCTCTACCTCACTCCTTTCTGGGCTCAGACTCGTAAGTGCAGTTCACTATAAACTCGTGAACTTAAGCTATCTATTCTACTATAATAAAGATGGTGAAAATGAAGAGCACTAGCAGAAAATTCAAGTATATATCAAGCTATCTATCTACTATAATAAAGATGGTGAAAATGAAGAGCACTAGCAGAAAATAAAGATCGTGAACTTAAGCTATCTACTATATATCAAGTACTTCCATAATAAATATATAAATCCTCATATTTGCCCTAGCAGAAAAATCATTTATTGTATTAATCCATCAAATAATGCATAATAGATTTGTTGCTAGCTAAATAGTGTGAATATATGAGCGATGCGGGAGACTAGACAAGACAATAAATATGAACATAATTTGTACCCAGAACAGTGTCTCCTTCCACATTAGAATTTGCCTCATTGTTATAGCTTGTAGTCATTTTTAAGAGCACACCATCTTCTTGGTCGTCTAAGCAAAAAAGGATAAAAAGTCACAATAATGTTCACATAAACAGTACCCTATAAATAATGTACACATCGTATACCTCTTTCAATGTCAAAATCTTCACCATTTTCACTATAGTGCTCTTCATTCTCTAAACTGTAAATATCTGCATTGTAATTTTAAAATATCAAAAACCTAATTTTGATTATAGGTAAAATGTAAAATATGCTAAAAATTACTTGTGTACCTTCTCCAAAATCAATATCTTCATGACCAACCTCCATTTGTGGTTGACTACTGTTGGCTGGATTGTTAAATCTAATTTTTAACTTACCTGTATCTCAATAAAATGTATATGAATTCATCATATAAATAAATAAATAAATAAATAAATAAATAAATAAATAAATAAATAATATAACCTTGTTGAGAAGCTTTCATGGCAGTTGATAGAGATTTTAGTGCTGCATTTCCAACTAATGTTGATTGTTTTCTCTTCATTCCATATAACTTGGCAACAGACGATGGTGGAATGAAGTTACGTTGTCTTCCAACCCCTTTTTGGTGCGTGCTTTTTCTCTGCAACGCCATCAAGCAAATAGAAAGTGATAAACATGCTGCGAATAACCGCATACTAATCAATATTTGAAAAATGTAAAACCGAATCATCAGACCCATAATCGATAGTTGAAAAATGAACACTACCTTTTTTGTAACTGAAATATGACCTTCGCTCTCAGAGTCTTCCGCACTATCATTATCACTAGGCACATAATCATCACCATCCTCACTGCCTTTGTATTTGTGTTTACTTTTCTTGTCCTTGCCACTGTCTACCAAGTTTGACATTGAAGCAACAATGCGCTTTATTCCCAACGACTTAAATTTCAGATTGTTCGCTTCAATCGTCCTTATTCTTTGTTGTTCATACTCACTACGTGGTACTTCAACACATTTTGGACATGTCTTTCCTCCCTTTTTTGACATGTTAAATCTAATCCAAAATAAATTTAGCTATAACCAGAAAATCACAATTACAAAGAATCAAATAATACTAATTATTTCTAGAAAGGTCCATAAAGATTACTATTAAATGAATAAACATGAAGGAATTGATATATAAAAGTGAGTGAAACAAAGTAGAGCATGAACTAAAAGAAATTGAAAAAAACTACAAAAGGTTTATGTCAAAACACAACTAGATGTCTTAATATTTTCTACAAAACGGCAAAGATGGTTATGGATATGTATCATCCTTTCCGTCAAGAACACTTTGCTGCTCAGGAACATCATAAAAGTTTCTTGGTGTTGCTGTAACCACCACCTTCCAGTTAGGCTTTAGAACATCGTCAACATAGAATACTTGTTGTGCTTAAGAAGCTAAAACATAGGGATCACTAGTCAAAACTTTGGTTGTATTGACACTAGTGAATCCGAAACGGTCAGTAATAAACCCTCGACCATGACTATGAACATCCCACCAGTCACATTTGAAAAGTGTGACACGATTTTGTCCAATATATTGTACTTCTACAATTTCTCACAAGACTCCATAATATGGGAGAACTGACGCTCCGCTTTCACCCTTCACAACAACCCCACTGTTTTGTGTTTCCCTCCCCCTATCAAAATCATGTTTTCGAAACATGCAACCATTAACCATGTATCCATTGACCGAAACGACTGCACGATTTGGACCATGTGCTAAAGCCAGTAAATGTTTTGTAACACTAGGATGTTTCTCCTGGAACAATTTTGTCACCTATTCATACATGAATTATATTAGTTTTAAACCCTAATATTGATTACAAAGAGAAACCAAACACAATTAGTTTTGTATGGATCCTTACTCGGTCCCTAAACCACTCAATACACTTTCTTTTTCGAACGGCAGTGATCCTTGTTCTATTTGTACCTTCCCAATCATATTCACTGCAATAAATACCTCATTACAATTAATAAATCAATAATTATCTACGACGAAATTAGAAACATAACCGTAAAATCTCACTCGATTATAGGTTGTGCTTC